GGAGATGTGGGAAGAGCAGGGAGAGACTGGCCTCGGGGACACTTAGCAAGTGGAGACAGTAAGAGCCAGGGGACAGCACGGACTGAATCTGATTGGTCATTTGTGGGTCTTCAGTTCAGGGATGAGAATGAAAGAGACGTAGCCGGTTTCCCAGAGGCCCTTCCTGAACCCTGGTCCGCTGTTCCCAATGGGCTGTTTTCTCACCACACAATACACACTGGCTGGAGGCCAGCAGGACTGTCCAAACAGACACACGCACGGACAGAAAGAGCCTGCGAGATAGTGGGGTGAATGTAAAGATGTCTGGGGGTGTTCAGAGAACTGGTTAGATTGGGGTAAGGGGGAGGAGCTGTAGTGCAGGCACAAGGCATTGTGGGTAAACTCCATGGGGACGGCCAGGTAAGGAAGGCGGTTAAAAGAAGCTGAGTCAGCGGGAGAAAGGGAAAGAGGGGGTACAACATGGGAAGAATGATGAATGTAGTTACAGTATAGAGAGGGTGTTAGAAATCTGCCATTGTTTACTCACCTTCACGATGTTCTGCATGACTTTCTTTCTGGTGTGAAACATAAAAGGAGCATTAATAAGTGGTGCATTGATTTGATGAAAAAAAAATTAATAATAATATTGTTACAAAAACAGTTTATCATTTTTCTAAACGTAATTTACTCCTGTGACGGTAAATCATTTTTTTTCTTATTTCTTAAAGAAATACAAAATACCAACAAACTTCAAGATACAAATCTTATATGATTACAAAGAAGTCCAAATAGCAGCACAAAAAATAAATGAACATCATAAATCTAAGAAAAGAAAAAAACCCTGAAAAAAACAAGTAAAAACAAACAAAAAAAATAAATAAATAAATATCAGCATCATTACTCCATGTCTTCAGTGTCACATGATCCTTCTGACATCATAATCCTAATATTTTTAGTTTTCTATAAATTTTATTCAGGATACTTTGATGAAAACAAAGTTCAAAAGAACAGCATTAAATTCAAATAGAAATCTTTTGTAACATTATAAATAAATAAATAAATATAAGTAAATATATTTACTTATATATATATATATATATATATATAATAAGTATATATAATATATATATATATATATATATATATTCCAAGTCTACCAAAGTCTTATCTTTTCTGTGGGGAACTGTCTGATATTAAAGATTAATAATCAAAGGTCAATGGTTCTAGAGCTAAAGCCTATCGATTTTCAGTGAATAATGGCCGAAATCTGAGCATTCATCATGATTTAAGGTCACATTTACTGTTTCTCAGCGAAATCCAGTCATTTCAATGTGAATTGGTGCATTGAAAAATTGTGCCTAATTTTGTTATGGGTTCAAGTTTGGTAAACTTTGACACACACGTGTGCATGGCCGGCCAATAGCATTCCCTCTTGGTTAAGCAGTGACCTCTGCATGCGTGGACATTCGGTACTTAATAACAAAGCAAAACTGAAGATCCACAATGGACGAGGCGATCATTCTGGCGGTGTCTACTTGTATAACATTACTGTCAGATTTGTATAACACTAAACCATATTATAAAATAATCCATCAAAAACGCTGAATAGCATTGGATGTTTAATTTATCATCATTATTCCTCCTGTATCATCGTACTTTGTCACAAGCAGCACTGTAACCCCACTCTTTCACCAGCAAAATTTCCGGTGAGGAACTTTAAATGTGAGCACACATTCATGGGAGATTTTGAGAAGCTGCAGGTGAACGGTTGCTGGGGTGCGCTGGCATTTTGGCTGGTTTATGGAGGGAAGGTTTTGGTTCAGCTGTGCAGTGTCAGCCCAGTGAACAGGAACAAGTCATCCCTTGACATTTGAAAAGCCTGACAAGACCATAATATCTGCAGTACTACTAAGAATGTGTGTGTGCACATCTAAGCTTTATAGTCTAATGTAAGATCTCCAGCTAAATAAACCCATTAAAGACATTTCAGACCTGTAAGATCATTTGCTTTGATCTGAAACAAGGACTTTATTTGTTATAATATTGCATTTTCATCTTGGTTTAGTGCGCTTTCACAAGGCAACATTTCAAATCGTACTAAAATGCATGTGTTTATGCAAGTCGCATGAGTAAAGCTGCTCTTATTGGTAGTTCACCTCTTTATGTTGCTCTGCGTCATCCATCAAGATGGATTGACAAGTTGGCTCCACGAGGCTTATTGTGTCTTTATCTGTCATTGTAGTGACAGCTCTTTGGTTCTGCAAAAAAAAAAAAAAAAAAAAAAACTCAGAGACTGCTGATTTTTATATAACACGTTTCCTGTTATGAATTATGATACCACTTGGTTTGTTGATCTATTGGGTCAGATTGCTTTCTCACCTCAACCAAACCGAGTTTGTTTTCAGATGGTTTGAGAACAACTTGTTCTGGTGATCTTGGAGCGATTGTTTTTGTGGGGATCCAAGTGCAATTGCCGTGTTCATATATGAATCAAATATACTGAAACAAATGCTCCAAACAAGCCAGGTGTGAAAACGGTCAAATTTTTGTACATTAACAGGAGAAAACGTGAGTGGTGCTTATACCTGTGTAAAAGTCGCAGCTGCAAAGCGGTTTAATCATCCGCTCTGAAAAGTAACAGTCAAATCAAGTCACCTTTCTTTATTTAGCATGTAAATGTACAGCTTAAATTTCAGGCTGAAACTTAATTGATGTCGCATTTTATACAATGCAGATACAGTAATAAACAGGAAAGTACCAATCAATGATGTAAACCTTATCAAATATGAGACGCATTCATATTCTGCTGTCAGTTCAGTTCAATAACTGTGTAAAATCATCAATTATTACATGAGTTTGATTCAACTAATAAGCTTTACAATACGTTGAGGCAATAGTGTCATCATCCAGTTCAAGTTTTTTTCTCACCCAATAGTGTCAGAGTAGTTATATTGATAATATCACTGAATATTAAATGCCTTTTAACCTGAGCAAGCCAAAGGAACCCAAATGCCATCGGGTGATAGAAACTTAGGGAAACAAGGCTAAACTGGCTACAGGCTACACCACAGGTCAGATTTGTTGTTTAGACACACAACAAGCCACATGATTTGAGGTATCATATAAACCTCTCTAACCCTTAAAGAATGAGCAATAGTTAATAGAGCTTTAGCAAGCATTATTAAGTATGATAAATCTGCTATGTCTGGCAGTTTATTTCATTAAACACTTTTAATGAGTTTTGGATGAGAAATGTAGTATGTGGTAAAGTATGATTTCACTTTTATAACTTGAGTTAGTGTGTAATGTTTCTGTTTGCGCATAAACAACATTATCAAAGTTACAACGCTCAAAGTTCAAAGCAAAGGAAGATATTTCCTTTTAAAGAAAAGGACTACAACAAACGGCTGGTAGGGACTACACGACATTCCTGCCGGGTTAGTGACATCACCAACCCTAAAATTTACATAAGCCCCGCCCCTGAGAACACGCAGTCCATGTTGAGAAGAGGAAGAGTGGTTGTATAAGAGTACATTTGTAAGTCAGCTCAAACTTTAGCTTTTCACATGTAATAGAAAGTCACTCAGTTCCTATATAAGCGATTTATTGATTACATGACAGAATATCCTAAATGAAGATAGTTAAAGGTGGAATACCTAAGATTTAGATGCCGCTAGAGGGAGCTACATTCAAAACAACAACACCGGCTTTGCTTGATGACGACGTAGAGAAACGCGGAATGATGGGAACTGTTGTTTTCAACTCCACCGTGGATAAATCAGTCAGACGGGAATCGAAAATGAGTTGTCATGGATGAGGTAGAGTTCGATTTCTATAAATGTTGCGTTTAATGACATGCTTGTTTTTCATTAAACTGAAATAACCGCGCAAGAAAAGTCAGGTTTAAAAGTAAATTAGTTATCACAGATGTTACTGTACGAGTCACTGGACGAAGTGACTTATTTTTGTCTCAAATCGTTGCTAATGGACCCTGACTTCGCCCTATGCTGCAATATGCATTTAATTTTGCATTCATTTACAGAAATCACCTGCTTGAATAACAATAGCTGATGTTATTAGATTTTTCAGGTGAGATTCTCAATTCATTCTGTGAACGGATGATCTGAGGTAAAGTTTTCACAATGCAGACTCAGCAACGATTGTATTTAATTGTACAGTACAATCATAACATAGAACAGACATTATCTTCATTTCATGTCATTAAACATAACAATATTTCTGGCCATACACTGATGAGAAAGTGCGCGTCCGGTGTTCGATACTCGTCCGGGTTGCGACCCCCTTTACAGCCAACAGTTCACATTCCGAGAATAAATGAAAAGAATAATTGTTCTCCATTCCATAACAAATGTGCGAAACAAGCTGACGTTTGTTGCTTGATGGACGCTAACGCACAACTACAACTTCCGCATTTGTCCATACACGCAGTACGAGCGGAAACCGAGGTAACGCGGATATGACGCAATTGACTCGCGACTCCCAGCTCACCCCTGCTCATACGCCCCGTTTCCTTGGTTAAACATTGTTTGAATCATTTGGAATATTGTAAGTTATCATCTTAACTAAACATATAACACCGGCCTTGTGATTTTGGGATATTTTAATGCAAAAATCTTAGGTATTCCACCTTTAACTCCACATCAGCAACATAAATTCCATTCAGAGATTTCCTGTTGTATTCTACATGTAGTCACTTTTTCTTGAGTCTCTCCATCTTTGACTGACTCCGTTTTAACAGTAAAGGGAGAACAGTTTCTGTCATTTTAGTGTGTCTGCGTGAGAAAATAAACCCCGCCCTCTGCAGCAGCTCATTTGCATTTAAAGGGCCAGGCACAAAATGCTCACAAAAAGATTTATTTTACATCTTGTGAAAATAGCATTTTACCACCCCATTTAAACACCTCCTTGATCTGCTGCAAATAACTGCCAGGACGTCTCTGATGACAGAAATGTCATACTTAAATGTCAGAGTGCTTAGCAGTAATAGAGCGAAGCGACCAAACAAAGGGCCAGAGCGTTTATCTCAACACCACTGCTGCAATCTCTACACTTCCATTAGGCAAATACAATACCATCTGATCACTCGCTGCTCTGCTTTGTTCCATGTGATTTCCTTGTGTGTAAGAGTGTGTTCAGGACTGCACAAATGCCTTTGTGCACGTGTGCTCATCACCCTGACTGCTGACAGTGCTGAAACAGAAGATCTACTGTACCTTCATGGCTTTGTGTCTGTGTGGATGTCTGCTTCTTCTGTGCTCCAGCCACCGTTGCCACCCTTTATTTGCACAGTTGGTTTGTCTGTGATTCAGATACCTGTAAAATGCAGAAATCTTATGAACAACTGCTGCCATGATCAATAGAAAATATACACTACCACACCAGTCAAGTTAGTTTTTTCTTTAAAGGAATTAATTCAGCAAGAATGCAAAAAAGTGTCAGTAAAGTCATCTAAAATGTTACGAATGTTTTAAGAATCTTGAAAATTTGCATCACAGCAACTATTAAGCAGCATTTTAAGTGTTTTCAACATTGATAATAGTAGTAAATCACTAAATGTAAAGCACTAAATCATCATATTAGGATGATTTCTGAAGGATCATGTGACACTGAAGACTGGAGTAATGATGCTGAAAATTCAGCTTTGCATCACAGGAATAAATTGCATTTTAAAATATATTATTCACATAGAAAACGGTTATTTTAAATTGTAATAAAGTCACAATTTGTGTTTGATTAAAAAAATGCATCCTTTGCAAGTGAGACCATTGTCAAAAATCTTAACATAACAGTAATATCACAATGGTAATTGCGGCAAGCATTTATGAATAAGGTGCATTCTATAATGAGCCTAATTTACATAGAAAGGCATCTTTGGCTAATTTAAATACAGAACAAAGCATCTACATATTAGCCCATTTAGTGCTTATTTGAACTACATTTAGTTAGTTTGCGGTAAAATATGTGCAAAATTGGCTGTTCAAGACACCTGCTTACACATGCAATGCCCATGTGTGCAAGTGAGAGAGAAAACAAAAGAGAAAGTGCATGCTGTAGAAGGTTGGTTTGCACATTGTGACATTTACACAGTATTGCAACATGATGCTGTCATGCCGTCACAAAACACTGAGTGTATAAAGATTCTACCTGCCATGTGGAAAATTGACAAGAACAACAAAATACCCGACGGGGATCAGAAATAAAAATAATGTTCATGCGACTCCCAGTGCCGAGCAGACGGCGGGACGCAATTATGGCTGTCCAATAATGAGCTAGTCAGCACAGGTTAGCATCAAGAGAGACAAGAAGCAAATCTGACGTGCAGACTTATCTATTTAATTACCACACACGCCTGATGTGTGTGTGTGTGTGTGAGAGAGAGAGAGATGGTTGAGGGTTTATGTTATTAACACATCCATTATCACACACACACACACACACACACAACAAATACAAACACTCATTACTGACTGGCATGAATTGATATTATAGTGCTTAGCCCAGGTTATGAGATAATGCAATTAGGAGCTCTTGCCAAGGCAATTACTCAAGTCACATCTAGAGAGCAGAGGGTGGACTTGAGTAACAGGATTGGGCAAAATTCACATAAATGTAATAGAAGTGGCCACACCACATAGGTTGAATCAGAATTTAAATTGTAAATGACAGTGAAAGGAATTGATTAAACAGCTATGCAAAGAAAACACAGATAAAGCATTCTGGGAAATGAAGTATTCTTCTACCGTGATCCACAAAAGTTAACTCTCTCTGTGTCGATCTATACAACCTTCAAACATCAAGGTGTTTTGAAATCCAAAACTTTTAAACAGTATTTAAAGTTTGAAAAATTAGCTTTTCTAGTGCAATTTTCTAGTCAGTTAGTTTCAAAATTGATCTTCTGTTCAACTTTCTATTCATCAAAGAATCCTGAAAATAATATATCACAGCTCACAGTAGTTCACTTTTAAAAAAAAGTGAGAAGAGAAGTCTTAAAAGAAATTAAGGTTTTTGATGAAAACATTCCAGGATTTTCTCCATATACTTCATTGGGAACCAAACGGTTCAAGGTCCAAATGAGAGTTTCAGTGCAGCTTCAAAGGGCTTTAAACGACACCAGACGATGAATAAGGGTCTTATCTAGCGGAACGATCTGTCATTTAAAAAATAAATAAAAAAGTTTAAGTTTTATAAGCACAAATGCTCGCCTTTCTCTGTTCTGTGATGAGCGTTCGTGACTCTCCTGTTCAAACTCCTTCATCAAAATGAACGAATCTTTTTTCGAGTCATGACTCAAAGGGTCCTTGATAAGACCCTTATTCATCGTCTGGTGTCATTTAAAGTCTTTTGAAGCTGCACTGAAACTCTCATTTGGACCTTGAAACATTTGGTTCCCAATGAAGTCCATTATATGGAGAAAATCCTTTTCATCAAAAACCTTAATTTCTTTTTAACTGAAGAAAGAAAGACGTGGACATCAAGTTTTTTTTTAGTTTTTTCAAAAAAGTGAACTATGCTAATTTTTTTTTTTTTTAAAAAGCAGCAAACCTGTTTTCAACATTGATAATAAAAAATATTTCCTGAAATCAGCTTTTAAAATGATTTCTGAAGGATCATGTGAACACTGAAGACTGGAGTAATGATGGCTTTGCCATCACAGGAAAACATTCCTTACATTGCAATCATTTTTCACAATATGACAATATTTTTCAAATAATTGCAGCCTTAGTGAGCACAAAATCCAACAGAGCCCAAAGTTTTAAGCGCTTGCATATACAATAACTGCATTAAATAGCCAGGATAACTTAAGACACTTATAATGTCAATCCCATTATGTTGAAACCAAGCTCTACAGATTAGCACAAAAATCACGTCATTCACAAAGTTCTACACATCCCTGCCAGTGTGTTGTAAAACATATGAAATATGAAAAGGTCTGCAGATTCCTTCGGGGCTGCTTATCACTCAGAGAGAAAACTCTTAGAGGGCACAGACTGGAACAAAGCAGACATGAACTCTGCTTTCAGTGAAACTGCAGACTAATACAAACATACACAGAAAGAAACAGAGGGAGGGAGCGAGGGGGAGCAAACAGAAAGAAAGACAGAGGGAGAGATTAACTGGTGAATCGTGACCTTGCCAGCTGGTGGTTGAAGGAGATACTCACACACACTCGCACATGTCCGGATATAGCTCTCTGGAGTGCACGGGCTGTCAGGTTGGCACTATGATGCATTGGAGGAGGGGTGTATATAGGGTTTAGAGTTCATACCAATCCCTAAACATGCCCTCCAACACAAACACCACAAGCTTACCCAAAATCCCACAGGCTGGGTGTACGCTGTCCACAACTGGCCTGGCATGGACATCTGATCTCTGACCTCCATACGCTCAGCGCAGATCTCACACTCCATCAACAAATCTGCTTCCAACATTTGCTTGGTCTTCATCCAGAATGCCATGATGCACACTGTAAAAATGTTTTCATAATTATGACAACAACATCTGTTTTTATCTACGCTGAACAAAATTATAAACGCAACACTTTTGGGTTTTTTTCAAAGATCAAAGATCTAAGACTTTTTCTTTGTACACAAAAGGCCTATTTCTCTCATTTATTGTTCAAAAATCTGTCTAAATCTGTGTTAGTGAGCACTTCTCCTTTGCCGAGATAACCCATCCACTTCACAGGTGTGGCATATCAAGATGCTGATTAGACAGCATGATTATTGCAAAGGTGTGCCTTAGGCACAGAAGAAATTAGGTTTTTGATGAAAACATTCCAGGATTTTTCTCCATATAATGCACATTACTGGGAACCAAACGGTTCAAGGTTCAAAAGACAGTTTCAGTGCAAACTGTTCAAAGGGCTTTGAATGATTCCAGACGATGAATAAGGGTCTTATCAAGCGAAACGATTGCTCATTTAAAAAAATAACAAAGTTTAAGTTTTATAAGCTCAAATGTTCGCCTTGCTCTGTTCTGTGTGACTCTCCTGTTCAAACTCGTTCATCAAAATGAACAAACCTTTTTCCGTGTCATTTGGTTCATTCAACGAACAAAATGAACGAAAAGACTGGGGAAAAGATTTGTTCATTTTGATGAACGAGTTCGAACAGTCACGAACGTGCATCACAAAACAGAGCAAGGCGACCATTTGAGCTTATACATTTTTTATTTATTTTTTTTTTATGAGTGCTCAAGTCATTTCGCTTGATAAGACCCTTATTCGTTGTCTGGAATCGTTTAAAGCCCTTTGAACAGTTTGCAGCGAAACTGTCTTTTGGACCTTGAACCGTTTGGTTGTGTCTGAAATCGCTCCCTGTCCGAATTCTGAGTGAGAATGGCATGATTCCCTAAATTCATTCACTACTTTCACCCACAATCCTGAAGCTTAAGGTACTGCATTGTTTAGCTTAATTTTAGAGCTCAGTGATGAACCGTAATTCATTTCATTCATTCATAACCAAACTCAGACTCTTCAGAAAATCAGTGCAGAAATGAGTAGTTTTTCTGTTAGCATCTTACAATGCAGAACATCCAGGTGAACAAACAAACAAACAAACAAACAAACAAACAAACAAACATCTAAATCACACTCGAAGTCAGAGAGCGATCTTTCTGATAAGAGACTGTTCAAATCAACAAAACTGGCTCCAGTTGAGGCAATCACACACAGAACTCAAAAGATTATATTTTACGTTAATCTAATCAACAAAACAACAAAGACATTTAAATATATGAGTACTCTGCAAGTACATGAATCGCTTCGTTTTTAAAACTGGCTGTCAATCTGTAATAATGTACCGTACAGAAAAAATAGCACTAGCCCACTTCCAACTAAAACTAAAATCTCATGCACCACAAGAGGGCGATGTTCATTAGTGAATTACACCATGGCCATGTAGAAACTGTATATAAATTATTGATAGGGTGGGAATACTATTACAACTAATCGTAAATTGCCCTACATTTCCATTTCTAAATACTAATTAGTCATTTTGGTAACACTTATGCCAATTATTTCAGAGACAGTCCCCAAAGAGCAATCTGAGATAATGTGCTTTTCAACAACGATGAAGGTCCTTTGTACGGTTCAAACTTACAATTGTTTTGTTGCCAGCCCACATGTTTAACCACATATATATCTGCATTTAGACAGGCCAACATACTATAGGCTATTTATCCTTCTCCACTGATATAACACCTGATAAGGATTTGACCCAGAAACCATCCTGTATGCCACATCGTGACATGTTTATGTTTTCACTACGGGTTAGGCCGGTTCTCAATCTAAGCGAGAGACAGATATAGACGGAAAGAAATAAAATTTCCCTGACAGTGGGAAAATAGCAGGCATTGAACCTCTCCATGAAACTGAAACGATCTGAGTCTTGTGCCACACCAAAGAACAAACATAGTTGATTTTGATCAGAAAATGTGGTCCATTTGCCTCAACATCTCCCATTCCTCTGATCCACAGCAATATCACTCGCTGTCTCGTGATACGGGCTCTCTGTGAACTGTTGTTGAACAGATATAACTGCTGAACCAGCACCAGTGTAATTCCACATGAATCTAGAGTCTGAAAACACACAGATCATCACTGTTGTTCTAAAAACAGACGCCGCAGCTTATTATGCCTTAAACGGTTTCATTTATGCATGTGAATGTCACAAAAATATGTTCAGGTCACATTTTAGCCCGGAATTAAAGAGAGAGGAAAAAGTACAAAATAATAAGTTTAAAGTTTTTGCATGACAACATCATTTTCATGATAATTAAGCAGGTTCTCAAGATGTTTTCTTTTTAAATATATAATTACCACAATAATTAGCGGTAATTATTCTCAGTGGTGATTCTCATTAGATTCACATTACCATATAGTAAGCTTCAGTAAAATAAATAAATACTGCAAAGCAATGTTTTCATCTACATCAGCATACATTAAGGCAGTACAACAAATACAATAATGATCTAAACTTAAATATTTATCATTATTTAGCCTAAATAATATATTTTTAAAAATTAATAATTACAATACAGAGAATGAGCTTTTTTGTATTACGATATTTAGAGGAAAAACATGCCTAATTGTAAAAAAGATTCTAAATTCTTACTATTAATATAATTAAATTCTTTATATTTTGGGGTTAAATATGACCTTGATGGGTTTTGTGAGTTTTTTTCTTTTGTCAAAACAACTAAAATAATTTATGTAGTTCAGATAACATAATATTTTGAGTTTCTGATGATTAAATCAATCTCGTTCATTGTATTAACTCAATTTTTCCAATTCAATGAACTTAAAATTAAACCTAAAAGGCAACCAGGTTACTTAATTTTTTAAGTTAAACCAACAATATTGTTTTAGTGTGCATTTATGAAAATACACAAGCAAGATGCTGACAGAGACATTTAACATTAACACTGCTGTGTTCAAATAACTAAGATATGATTTATTTCATGGGTGAGTTTGAGCAAAGATATATTGGAAATGTTGTGTTTAGCCATGCTGATATTAGATCCCTCAAATTTATTTTATAAAGCCGATCATAAACAGCTCAAATCTCCAGGAGCAGCAACAGATCCAGTGGAAATCTCTTGTGTTCAAACATTCCCATTCGGTGGGAGTGCTTTGAAAGTCAAATATGTTGTGTGTGCGAGTGTGTGTTTATTTGCATATGAAGTGAACCCTAAACCTACAATGCGCTCCGTTGTTGTGTATGCATACTCACATGGAGCCATGCAGCGAAGTCCATTTCAAAAAGAGTGGCAAAAGTCACATGACCACAGCTCATGTGTCAGGGAAGAGTAAACAGGTCAGTACACATAACCAGACACACACTTCCTGTTTTTCAGCATGCATTGCACACACCCCATGATTCATGACTCAAGACATTTCAATGGAAATCTTCTGGGAAATTTATAAAGCATGATTGTGGGAAAACAAACATCATGTGACTTCTATTTTTATGTGTAGATCTCCTTCAAAATGAATTATGAAAAAAGGCCTGAAAAATTATTTATGTTGAAGTGGGATGGGTTACTCAAAAATTTAAAGGAGTAGTTTACTTTAAAAAAAAAAAATAAATAAAACTTTTGCTGATAATTTACTCACCCCCATGTCATTCTTTCTTCAGTCGAAAATCATTTTTTTTTTATGAAAACATTCCAGGATTTTTCTCCATATAATGGACTTTACTGGGTACCAAACGGTTCAAGATCCAAAAGACAGTTTCAGTGCAAACTACAAACTGTTCAAAGGGCTTTAAACGATTCCAGACGATGAATAAGGGTCTTATCAAGCGAAACGATCGCTCATTTAATAAATAAATAACAAAGTTTAAGTTTTATAAGCTCAAATCCGTTCGTGACTCCTGTTCGAACTCGTTCATCAAAATGAACAAATCTTTTTTCATGTCATTCGGTTCATTCAACGAACGAAATGAACGAATTGACTCGGTAAAAGATTCGTTCATTTTGATGAACAAGTTCGAACAGGAGAGTCACGAACGCGCATCAAAGAACAGAGCAAGGCGACCATTTGAGCTTATAAAACGGCCGATCATTTATTAAATGAGCGATCTTTTCGCTTGATAAGACCCTTATTCATCGTCTGGAATCGTTTAAAGCCCTTTGAACAGTTTGCAGTTTGTACTGAAACTAGTTTGTCTTTTGGACCTTGAATCATTTGGTTCCCATTGAAATGCATTATATGGAGAAAAATCCTGGAATGTTTTCATCAAAAACCTTAATTTCTTTTCGACTGAAGAGAGAAAGACATGGACATCTTGGATGACATGGGGGTGAGTAAATTATCAGCAAAAGTTAAAAAAAACAAAAGTGAACTACTCCTTTAAGTTCTGTTGTCATTTACTGCACAGTTTCAAAAAAAAAATATTTTGAAAAAAGATGAGAACCAAACAACAATGGATCCCTCTGACTTCAACTGTGACAAAACAAATAAATAAATAAAACCTCAACAAAACACAGACACATTTCTCAAAGTATTGTCCGGCGTGTTCCACGGAAGTAAGGAAGTCACACAGGTTTGGAACATGACCGGTAAGTCAATTTCAATATTGGGTGAGCCATCCCTTTACCAGAAAACTCCCTTCATTCATTGTGGGTGTGTAACATGTTTAACTTATGACTGTTCAAGAACAAAAGTCAGAGACGGGCCTTGAATCTGACACTTGCTGAAAAATAAATATTCATTTCCTTGTTGAATAATCTTGACCTGCGAGGGATGATGGGAAATCACCTGAGCCTAAATTTGTCATGATGTAGTCTGTTTGCACTGGAGGTCAAGGAAATGTAGAAACTTTCAATGTTTGAACGTATCCATCCATATTCTCAATAGTGAAGATCCGAACTGAACAGCCTTTAATTGACATGTTTAGCCTCTGTTCTCACAGAGTCACAGCTCAACCCCCGTCACTTTCAAAGCTCTATTCAGTCACAGCACTATAGAGATACTAGCTTTGTGATGTGTGAACCTCATTGTTCTCAGTGACTCATTTATTGCATCTCTATTGTCTTAGGCACAGAACACACCATGATACATTTCACACTTATATGAAAAAAAAACCTTTTTCTATTTAAAACCCCTAAAAATGTCTAGTGTAACCATTAGGGGGAAATGCTAAAATTCTTTCACTGCATTTTATTTAATCATAATTTGATAAAAAAAAAAAAAAAAAAATATTTTAACATATTTTAATTTAAAAATATTTCTTTCCAAATATAACATGCACTTTTGAATCATATATATATATATATATATATATATATATATATATATATATATATATATATATTGTTATATATATATATTGATATATATATACTATGTATATTGTTATATATATACTGTATATATATATATATATATATATATATATTGTTGTTGTTGTAAGAAACCCCTCACTGGAAAGATTAATCACAATCAGAATCAGTGTAATATATCAATCATTTAATAGGGAGTGTAGTAATCTCAAGTGTGACTCCACTAGAGCCTCAGATAAGATCTCTAAATTGCACCGCTCACTAGAATCAGTGTTCAGAAGACTCTCCATAGACTACTGAAATGCGTCATGGGGGAAAAAAAATTGGTTTTGCGTCAAACTGTCAAAATATAGCTAACTGGGTTCTGTGTAGTTAATGTTCGATGATGTCACACACAAAAGCATCTGGAATTAGTAACAAACACACTAACCTTCTGTCAGAGTGACACAAACGCATATTTGACTGTTCTGTAAATACCCATTTACGTCTGCTGACGCCCACAAAATGACAGACAATTATTCTTAAAAAAAAGTTTTCAAAATATATGGTCAACTTAAGATGAAAATGAGTCATGAGAGCAAGACTTCTGACACAAATGTGCCTATTCATAAAAATGCCAAAATATGTGATACGACTTAAACAAATTCATGTTTTTCTTGTAAATATTTTATTTTTAAAATGATTAATACTATTATTAATACATACAATTAAACTAAATTGACTAAAGTGCTTATTTTTAGTAAATATGACTAATTTCGCAGAAGTTAGACAACAGTTATTTTTGTCTTTAAGTCCCAAAAAATTACCATGAGACGTTAAAAACGTGTAATTTTTTTGTATGACTTTACCATTAACGTAATAGATGTAGATCTTACCATATGTTAACATTAGTTCTTGCTTTATCAAACATAAAATAATACTGAATACTTTTACAGCACATGTTAATCTTGATTATTACTCTACAAATACTACTACATTGTTAATATTTTAAGTTGTATAACTAAAAAATAAGAACAGATCTGAATTAACAACGAACATACACTCTAAAAATGCTGGATTGTTTTAACCCAATTTTAGGTCAAATATGGACAAACTCAAACATTAGGTTAAAAATGTAATTTAAAAATGTAACCCAGTGGCTGGGTTTGTCCACATTTGACCCAAAATTGGGTTAAAACAACCCAGCATTTTACCCAGAGTGTATAAATTAACATTAAAGATTGTGTTTTTTATACTACACTTTTCAACACTGTAAATTGTTACCATTTTCAGCCTATCCTGGTGATTTGGCAATTCAAATGTAGCTGTTTTTGTTATGCCAATGAAGCACATTGAAATAGAGAGGGAGGAGACAAGGAAGGAGAGCTGGAGTGAGGAAGTCGGGAGGGAGAAAGAATGCTATGATGTCACACGAGTGCACTCAAATACAAAAGCAGGCGAGAGAAAGAAACACGCTCTCTCTCTCACACACACACTCACACACATGCTGCTGCCTGTTTCACTCACACAACTCCACTTCACACTCCTTCAGCTCAGAATGTGAGTACTAGTTCACTTTTCTCTCTTTCTCAGCAGACTTCATAAGCACTCAGCTGTTTCTTTGTCCTCATCTTTACAGCTTTTTCATCCTCTTTCTCTCGATCTCTCCGTCTTATCTGGAACAGGTCAGACTGTTTTGGCAGTTACACACAGCTCCTGATCTATCTAACGGCTTGCTTTGTTTCTTTTAGTTGCTCTTTTGCCAACTTCCAGAGCCGTTTGTGTCGTGAGTCTTTGTGTAAACGTCTCTGGCTGTGTCTATTGTCTATCCTTAACATACCCAAAGTCTTCTCTGATGCATCATCATCACAGTTTTAACATGCTATTCCAGCTGCATTCGAACCTTTCATGCTCAGATTGTTGGTTTTGCTTAAGTAAACTCAGTTGCTGTGCTCACTCTAATTAAAAAGCACAGATGTTTATTCATTTATTGCTTCTTTGTTAGTTTTGAATGGCTTTGTTAGTTGTTTGGTGTGGAAACATGTCTGACCTGGTGGTGCATGATTGGTTTTGAACACAGAGAGGCTCTTTGTTTGAGAAATAGAAAAGTAGGATTAATTTCTGGCAGAGAGAAATAAAGAGAGAGAGAGAGAGTTTTAAGGGCTGAAATGCTGTATAATCTGTGTAAACAGCAAGAGAGAATGAGAAACAACTAAATCAATTGAATGAGGGAGAGCAATATAGACGTGCATTTAGCTCAAGTCAACAGAGAAAGGAAATAGGCTACACTCAGAGATCTGGGATAAATCAGACTGCTATTCAACAGCAAACCCTAAAACATCAACTTAGAGGAACATTTTGCCCAAACAATCTCCTTTAACCCCCACAGGGAAGAACATCACAATGAGAATCAATATGTGAATCACTTCTCATAGACAGCAGTGAGATTAATCGAGAGTGTAGTAGGCCTACTCACAAGTATGACCACTAGATCTTCAGTTAAGTTCACAAGCTGTCAATACATGGGTTAAGGTCACTATTCGGGTTTCTGAAACATTCGGAATAACCTGTTTACATGTGTGAGCAGAGAGAGTTACTCCTGTATACATGGTATTTGTAATCAATTGGCAATATCCTGATGTAAACGGTGACGCACGGTCAGCGGCTGGACGTAGGGACAACCTTAAGTTCATTTCCGATTCTTCCGATACCTCAGAGATCATAACCGGGTTTTTAAAATCCGGTATATGAGCACACTCTAAAAAATGCTGGGTTGTTTTAACCCAATTTTGGGTCAAATATGGACAAACCCGAAATGTTGGGTTAAAAATGTAATGTAAAAATTTAACCCAACGGCTGGGTTAGTCCATATTTGACCCAAAGTTGGGTTAAAACAACCCAGCATTTTTTAGAGTGCATATTCGGGTTTTTGCCGGTGTTTACATGGCCGTTCGTGACCGGGTTATTGCTAATATAACGGGTTATTGGCTGCATGTAAACGTAGTCACTGTACAGAAGACACTCCTTCAATTCAACTAATGAAAAATGGGTTCACAAGTCAATTATGAAAACAGATCAGTCACTGACTTCTGCTTGTTTTACAAAATAATCGACAAACATGCCAAAATGACTAAGGGTTACTACTTAATTTGATCTTCATTTGATTTATTTTATAGGGTTTATTTTGTTTAATGTTTTTCCTGTCACATGACAAAACTTGTTGGGTCTTGCCACACATTGATTTGGTGTAAATACCTTGGTGTATAAATTGCTTTTATTCAGGAATTAAACATATCATCATTGCAGAGGCATATTCAAGTCGCTTTGTATGAATTGAGGTTTAAAAGTACTGCTGGGATGCAACGAGAATTTAGCACTCAAAAAATTAATTCATTACCATTAATTCATCATATGTAATTCAAGATTGTTTTCCCACAATTTAATTTAGTTTAATTGGGTCAACACAATTTAGTTGCTTTACGTTGGTTGGGTGGTTTAATGTAGGCTACTCTAGCATGTTTAACTAAACTACAAAAATGTTATGTTGGTTTAACTTGATGTGTATATTAATTTAGCGAGATTTATTTTTCTTATGTTCAAACAATCAGTTTTACTCATTGTTATATCAATGCAGATATATAATGAACAAAAAATAAGAAAAGACTGGTATCAGTGTTAACATAAGCATATTGCATTCAAAGCAATGGTAACCACAAAATTCAAAAAACATTACAGAAACTCCTCTAAACATCTAGCATAACTAAACAGTGAACACACTGTAAAAAATATAAATATTTAAGTTTAATGCCTTAAAATTTTAAGTTCATTGAAATTGAAAAATTGAGTTAACACAATGAAGGAGATTGATTTAATCATCAGAAACTCAAAATATTATGTTCGCTGAACCACTTAAATAAATTAAGTTGATTTTACAAAAGACGAAAATGTTGTGATTACAAATCATGAACATATTTTTTTACAGTGCACTAACATAACATTTTTCCCTTAACTGAAAAATACATAAAATGACACTTTAATCCCTAAATTTACTCTTAAATCAGGCCCTTGCAAAGCATGCTGGGAACTACAGATCTACTGCCAAGTTAGTTCATCTAGTCAACACAAATGAATTACATAAACTTCAGTTTTGAATATATTAGGTTGATTGAACGAATAAATTAAGTTGTGACGAAATGTAAAAAACAACTTTAGATCATTTTAATGAATTAAACTGAGCAAGAGGCAAAAACTATTTTTGGAGTATAGAAGATTCAAGAAAATCCAGAGATCTCATTTGGGATATTTCTTTCCTGTGGATCAATATGAATTTATTATCATGACCTTCCAAGAAAAAAAAAAAAACAGCAACATCTGAGAGCTTCATTACGCCTGACTAGAGGAATAAAACGGCTCTCTGCTCGCTTCAGAAAAAGGAAATTAGAGTGGGAAGCTTAATTATTTTACTAATGAAGTCAGAATGAAATTATGCAAAGATATAAAGAGTCGCCCAGAAAGAGGGGCTGAACAAAAAATGGCAACAGATGCTGTAATGGATCTTTCTTTCTTTACCTCCTCCAATTTCTCTCCCTCTCTTTCAGACTGGAATCACATGGCCAGAGTGTGGGACAAGAACGAACACGGCAGCAGGATCTAAAATGCCAATCTCTGAAAGATAGAGGGAGCTTTTGTTAGAGGAAAGGGCGATAAGAATTCCCAAAAAGAAGCTGGACTCTTCAGAAAGCGACTTTGTATACCAGCACACTTATTCAAAAGCCTACAACACACATACAGAACCAACATGCTGCAGCAAATCCTCACTGACATGTACATAGACCCTGATGTACTAGAAGCCCTGAATGAGGAACAGAAGAAGATCTTGTTCTTCAAGATGAGAGAGGAACAAGTCAGGCGCTGGAAGGAGAGGGAAGAGGTGGATGGCAAGGAGGGGATAAAAAAAGAAAAGCTCCGGCAAAAGAAAGGTATGAACTTACTAACTAACACCCTTTCTAAAAATACTGCCACATCTGTCATTCTGTGAGGAGACAAACACTATTTACAGAACAGCTAAAGAAGCTGTTGTTTGTGGTTAATAACACAATCTTGTTTTGTTGTGTGCTCACGGTATGAGGCGATAATCTTTCTTTTGTTCTGATGACGTGTTTCGGCCTTACTCCAAGTTCTTGGTTAGCTTCTTATTTGTTGAATCCAGACAATTAGTTGATGAAACATTGATTGAAACGTACATCAAAAATCACGTCTGACCCACTCCATGTCTCCCAACTTATTGCCGTTCAATACATTCACTTCCATATTCAACATATATTAAATAAAAACCAAAGTCATAAAACATAAATATGAAACTAAATGGCTTTTTGACACGTTTCAATAGTTAAATCGAACCCTTTAGGGAAGCTTTTGACACACAATTCACGCAGCAGTTCAGTTCTGTTGGAGAGAGAAATACACTAGTGTTCACACACACTTCAGGTATTACACATGTCTGATGGTGCATGATTGCTTTTGAATATAGAAATGGTAGAGAAGTAGGATTCATTTCTCGCAGAGAGAAATAAAGAAAAGAGGACTGAAATGCTGTCGCAACAGAGATTGAGCTGTTAGATGAGAAACAACTAAATAAAGTGAATGACGAAGAGAATTCAACAGCAGAGAGCTATTTAACAGCAGACTGGATCACAAAACCTAAAAAAAACATTGAAACTTACAGATGCTCAGAGGAACATTTGTTACCTAAATATCAAATCACAATAAGAATGGCTGTAATATAAGAATAGTGAGCAGTGAGATTAATAGAGCGTAATCTCACATGTGACTCCTCTAGTTTCAGATAAGATCTCAGTGTCTCAAACTGCTCAAAAATGAAATGCGTCATCGGAAAAAAGAGAAAAATGTCCGTATCAAATGCTCATAGGCTACCTAAATGGATTCAGAGATCAGATGTCACTGACTTCGGCTTGTTTTACAAATTTCCAAACATTACAAAATGACTCAGTCAAACCTGTTTTCACACATAAAGTGTTGAATCATTAATAGTGAATACCAAGAATGTTTCTCAGGATTGCGACCTTCGACCTTAGGTAAAAAGTAAAAAAGACAGGTGACAGGTCAGATGGTTTGTTATTAATTACGCATTATTTTGTGTATTACATCATAATTCAATGCATTCTCATCCTAGGGCGTCATCTAACTGACACTTTTGACCATGCGTCTAAATCCGACGCACATGGCAACCTTTAGCGTCAGTTAGATGATGCGGGTAGGTTTAGGTCTGGGGTAGGGTTAGGGTTTGACCACTAGAAGGCGCATCTCATATTGACGCTAAAGGGTGCCATGTGCGTCGGATTTTGACGCGTGGTCAAAAGCGCCAGTTAGATGACACCTTGGGATGAGAACGGGCTAGTTGGTATTGAGTGTATGAGGCAACAATATTTCTTTTTGTTCTGATGCTGAGTTTCAATAGTTGAATTGAACCCTGTGGAGAAACTATTGAAGAGTGATTCTAGTGAATACATTCACTCTAAAAAATGCTGGTTTGTTTTAACCCAATTTTGGGGTCAAATATGGACAAACCCAGCTGTTAGGTTAAATATATTAATTGCATTTATTAATTCAACATTTGGGTTTGTCCATATTTGATCCAAAATTGGGTTAAAACAACCAGCAGTTCAGTTCTCTTAGGAGAGAGAAACACACTGTTCACACACAGCTCAGGTATTAAAGAGACAATCGCTTTACACAACCAATATTTTTAAAATCAAATTAATTTAAATAATTTTATTATATTATATAATAACTAACAATACACTCGAAAAATGCTGGGTTGTTTCAACCCAAATTTGGGTCAAACATGGACAAACCCAAATGTTGGGTTAAAAATGCAATTAAAAAAATTCACAGTTGAAAGTGAAAGTTGAAGTTGGAAATTTACCCCCACATTTGGGTTTGTCTATATTTTACCCAAAGTTGGGTTCAAGCAACCCAAGTGTAATAATAACTACACTCTAAAAAATGCTGGGTTGTTTTAACCCAATTTTGGGTCAAATATGGACAAACCCAAAATGTTGGGTTAAAAATGTAATGTAAAAATTTAACCCAACGGCTGGGTTAGTCCATATTGGACCCAAAGTTGGGTTAAAACAACCCAGCATTTTTTAGAGTGTAATATTAATCATTAATGGGCTTCCTAATCTTCCTCCTCCACTCCCATTTTATTACTCATAGCAGCTGGTACAAGGTTTCTAGATTGATTTTTCAATATTTTGTATAATAGTCCACATACAATTATCTTTATATCGAGAGCCTGATTTAGTGAGATCACCCCTTGCTGTGTGAACCAGAACCTACTCTAAAAATTGCTGGGTTGTTTTAACCCAACTTTGGGTCAAATATGGACAAACCCAGCCATTGGGTTACATTTTTTAATTACATTTTTAACCCAACGTTTGGGTTTGTCCATATTTGACCCAAAGTTGGGTTAAAACAACCCAGCATTTTTTAGAGCGTAGCCAATCAGAAAACGAATTACTTGTATTAATTCTCTACTTTCCCTTTTACACAAGTACAACAAACACGCCCTCACTGACTGAATGATGTAAAGTAATTTCGAGGTGATCGCATATTTTTAAGGCCAAAGGAAATTAAGTGACCTAAAAGAGTCACATAACATGATGCAGAAACATCCTGCAGCTGTACGGGCGAAACCGGACACAAATTCCAGCTTTTCAACACACCTCAACACAACACTCACTAACTGTTTATCTCCACAGCATCAGCATTGAGCCTTCTTTAGGATCTAACCCCTGTAATGCCTTAGGGGAACGGTCGACGTAAATTCCTCTAAACATTTGATGGCTTTCTAATGCTTTAAAGCCTTACAACAGATTTGGGAATGGAATGTTTTCGGGAAACAGGAGACATGCAAAAACAGAGCAACCTAAGAGAGAAAAAAATAGAGGCCAATATGGTTTGCAAATGACAGTATGAGGAAAAAATTTGCGTAACTCTGCACGAATATGCGCTTATAGCATCTGTGAGAACTTGAAGCCAAGTTCTCAAGCTGGGAAAAAACATCCACGTTCATGCGTTGATGACGATGGAATCCAACCCAACAGGAATTGACTGTTAAAAGAACATTTGCTTGGGGCCGTTAATGTCCTCGTAAGCGTTTCTATCAATAGCTCTGGTTTTCTCCTCCGGCTTCAGTTTCTCATCTCGTCACATCACATGGGCTTCATGTGACTCAAGGCCTTTGTGATGCGTGTTCAGCCTCTGCACAAAAGCGAGCCACACTCTCATTAATTTACTCCAGTGTGACATGAACACAGTCAAATCTCTTTCTGTGCTCTTTAGATTTTCTCTCCGCGGACGCACAGTTCATGTCAATGGCAGCATTGTGAAACGCAGCTGTGTCTCTCTTTCTCTCGCTCAACACTTTGTGGCAGGTTTCAGTCGTCTCAGCTGATACTGTGCGTCAGGTAGTCGAGATACTGTAAATAATTTTGTGGAAGTTTCTGTTGGCTGTTCTTTCTGTACACAAACACACAAAACTATGAGCTAATGCTGGAACTTTGTACCCGAGACTCTTTCGCTGCATGCCCACTGACAAAATCACCAATGAGATCTCTTTAATACCATAAGTGTTTCTCTTAGACCGCACTGAGATTAAATGGAGAGCAAATGGAGATTTGGAGGTGTGGTCATAAGACTTAAGAATTACTTCAGACATCTAATACATGTCAATAAATATTAGCAACAGGATGTGATGTCACACTCCAGGACATACACAATCTAGTATAGCGACACTTTAAACTCTTAAAAACCATTTCCTCCCCGTTTGTTTCTCATCCATGAAGTCAATCTGTGAAATGCAGACCATCAATTGGTTGGATGTCTTTCTGCAGTGCAAGTTCAGAGTTCAGTAAACATGAACTTTTGTATGAGCGTATGCTTGCATTGGAAGTGAAAGGAACATCAAATCTAATTTGACAGTCCCTTTAGTATAAATTTCTTTCAGTAGTCTCACATTTGTTTCAGAAATTATCTCAACAACATATCAAACTGTGCTCTTCGTTCACCTTTTGGTCTCACTGTCCACACCACAACACAGGAAGGCCTAACCTTTCCAGCAGTTTGTGATTTACTATAAGGATTTAAAAAAATATATTTTTACTAACAAAAAATATCACTGTTGGTTTAACTAAAAAAAATGAAGTAACCTGCACTTTAAAAATGCTGAGTTGTTTTAACCCAACTTTGGGTCAAATATGGGCAAACCCAAACGTTGGGTTAAAAATTTAATTAAAAAATGTATCCCAAATGGCTGGGTTTGTCAATATTTGACCCAAAGTTGGGTTAAAACAACCCAGCAATGTTTAGTGTGTGGTTGCCTTAAAACTTTAAGTTCATTGAAATTGAAAAATTGAGTTAATGCAATGAAGGATATTGATTTAATAATCAGAAACTAAAAATATTTTGTTATCTGAACCACATAAATTATCTAAGTTGATTTGACAGCAAATAACAAATCATGATTTTTTTTGCCATAAATAAATACATGTATGTTTATAAAAATGACCAAGGAGTTAGAGGATCTCATTATTTATATAACTTTTTCCAATCTTGAAATCATACTTTTATAATTAGGCTTCCTTATATGTAGGTTTGTCAAAACTCTGGAAATCCTGGTTCTTCAAAGAGGATTTAAAATAAAAATATCTTGATTATTTCTCTATTTCATACCATCTTGAGGCTCTTTAGGAGTTTGCTGAGGCCTCCTGTCAACAAGAATCTCATTTGTGACTATTTTAAGCAGTTTAAATGGACAATTTACACAAAAATGTCATCATTTACTCACTGTCAAGTCGTTCCAACCTTGTATGATTTTCTTTCTTCTGTGGAACACAAAAGCACATTGTATGTAAAACACTGAGACATATTTGACAAACGTACAGGTTTGGAATGGCTTGAGGGTAAATGATGGCATTTTTTTTATTTTTGCACAAGCAACAAGAGACAAAAGAAAAGAAAGAGTAACTTCCAAGCTATAAAGACGTCTTCTCCTCAAATGTCAGAGGACGTATTGTCTCTATTTGTGCGTTTTATAACATAAAAAAGCTCAAAATGGGTTACGTTCCTTTCGGTGTAGCTCTAATCTCTCTGGCCGCATTAAGCCCTGGGCAAAAGTGAAGAAACACTCCTCAAGAAAACCTATTTATCATCATCCTGTTACATCACCTTTCAAATACAAACACCATGTTTTGAGCGGCACAAATAAACACACACAGACAGATCTAACCATTAGCATGCAAAAACACCCCCTAAAGATGTGTGCCAGTTCAATATGATAACTTGCATTGTTTCAGCTGCACATACTGAACATTTCTGACATTTCTAACAGAAACCTTCTCTAAATTCATCCTTGTATGGATGTGAATTGTGAAGCCATCTGATCTGCCTCGTCTTAGACTGTCAACCTGGAAATCCTGGCTCTTCAAAGAGGATTTCAAATAAAAATATCTTGATCATTTCATTATTTCATACCATCTCGAGGCCCCTTTAGGAGTTTGCTGAGGCCTCCTGTCAACAAGAATCTCATTTTGTGACTATTTTAAGCAGTTTAAATGGACAATCTACACCAAAATGTAAATCTGTCATGTAATCATTTACTCACCGTCAAGTCGTTCCAACCCTGTATTATTTTCTTTCTTCTGTGGAACACAAAAGAAGATTATATGTAAAACACTGAGACATATTTGACAAACATACAGGTTTGGAACGGCTTGAAGGTAAATGATGACAATTTTATTTTTGTACAAGAGACAAAAGAAAAGAAAGTAACTTCCAAGCTATAAAGATGTCTTATCCTCAAATGTCAGAGGACGTATTGTCTCTATTTGTGCGTTTTATAACATTAAAAAAAGCTAAATTATTGATGGGTTATGTTCCTTTCGGCATTAAGCCCTGGGCAAAAGTGAAGAAACACTCCTCAAGAAAACCTATTTATCATCATCCTGTTACATCACCTTTCAAATACAAGCGGCAAGGGTGAACACACAGCGACCTAGGCAACAAGCAACACAAACACACAAATAAACACACACTGAAACCATTAGCATGCAAAAACACCTCCTAAAGATGTGTGCCAGTTCAATATGATAACTTGCATAGTTTCAGCTGCACATACTGAACATTTCTGACATTTCTAACAGAAACCTTCTCTAAATTCATCCTTGTATGGATGTGAATTGTGAAGCCATCTGATCTGCCTCGTCTTAAGACTGTCAACCTGGAGAACTGGTTCTTTATGCAACCCTTTCTGAAGAAGCTGACGGGTGTTAGGTTTTCTCTTACGTCCATGCAAAATGAAGGAAAAAGAAAAACAGATTGACCCCTCTTGGAACAAACTGTTCACGCTTGGAAATTCTTGACATTTTTCTCTCTAATTCCCACAGCGATACCTGTGGTATTGCAATGATGATGTATTAGTTGAACTGCGCTCCCATATGATCCGCACAAGGATCCTCTTTGTGTTCCTGCAGTATTACGTAAGCACATTTCAGTTGATCACACTTCACTTCATGCCTTCAAACATTTTGTGCAATCTGAGAAGGTTAAATCACACTGAAATAATGATGAGGGTGACTGGGAAAGAGTCGCGGCTTTTGTGGGTTGGTGCAAGTGTCTGTAAGGCGATAATGCAATCCTGACGAACACTGGCATTGGCATCTACACACTGAATGACATTAACACACTTCTAAACCGGAGTGGATGACCTACTACAGTATACAAGATCAATTTCACTCAATGTCACAGCGCCCTCTGTCTGTGAAAAGGAGTAAGGACACGCTATAGACTGTAATCATAAATCAAGGGATCAGGGTTTGGCTGGTTAGTATCAATATTCAATACCAGAAAGCCATATGGTAGTGCCCCAAAAAATACTGTGGCAAAAGATGATTTTAAAAGACTGCCAAATGAAGAAATATGCTTTACGCTGGTCATTAAACCGCAATAGGTGTGTTCAAAAAGCAATATAGGGACGAAATGTGAACTGTTGTTTCTGTTGTGCATCTTTTAGTATTTGTTTCTGTGTTGCTCTTTTATTTATTGCTTCTCAGATATTGATTTTCTTGACATGTATATCATTTTGTCCTCAGGCCCTTGTAAAAATGTGAGCTGGCGGCTGGGCAGTGACGGCGACGTGCATGTGTGTATTATCGGAGAATCGGATGATCTCAAATCTCCAAAACTCATCCTGTCTGAGCTGAGGGACAAGACAGCAGCCAACCCTAACAATATCCACAGGTACAACGTCCTATACTTCAATAATATCAGCAGGCAGAAACACTATTGAAGGGATTATGAATGCAATAGACCAATCGGAGTCAATTATTTCAAAGAGCTATAAATCTCAATAATATCAACAGGAAGAAGTAAACACTAACTAACAAACGGCAGGCAAAAATATACAATAGTCTACAAAAAATGACAATATCACTGTTAAATATATATATAGACCCAGGTTTCTTAACTACATTTTAAGGATCCTACACTCTGAAAATGATGGGTTGTTTCAACCCAAATTTGGGTCAAATATGGACAAACCCAAATGTTGGGTTAAAAATGTCATTTAAAAAATGTGCACTCTAAAAATGCTGGGTTGTTTCAACCCAACTTTGGGTCAAATATGGACAAACCCAGCCATTAGGTTATATTTTTACATTACATTTTTAACCCAACACTTGGGTTTGTCCATATTTGACCCAAAGTTGGGTTAAAACAACCCAGCATTTTTTAGAGTGTAGAGTTGAAAGTGAAAGTTGAAGTTGGGTTGAATTTTAAATTACTTTTATAAAACAACCCTGCATTGTTTAGAGTGTAAAGAAGTTTCTATATGGAGAGAGATGTCTTAAATACTTATATGTTCAACTAGTTATTTTAATGATAAAGCATGTTTATACGCCAAAATGAGTTTTTACGTAGCCTACATATGATACGCATTGGTTGGTTTAGGTGTGGGGGTGCGTGAGCGTGTGTATTATACGTTTGGGTAGAATTAGTGGTGTGGGCTGCGAGTGTATTACATGCAAATGAACTGCGTATCAACTGCACGCGGAAAAACTGCGTCTCATATGCAACTAAAAACTAATTCTCGCATATAAATTAAAATTACACAATACACGACATGTGTTAAAAGGTGCTATAATACGCCTGACAGAAAAGGTTCTGTAAAGGAAGGTTCTATTATTGTAATTAACAGCAAAACAAATATTCAAAACAGAGAGTTTTGAATAAATGTGTAAAATGTTGAATAAATGTTGAGTTTTGAATAAATGCTAAATGTGTGTTTTTCTTTGTTCACAGAGCAAAAGCAGAATCTGTGAAGAGCTTCTTGACCAAACCAGACAGAGCACAACAAATCAGCACAGAACCAGGGATCCAGCTACTGCTCAAGGTGTGTGTGTACTATATAATGTTTTTTTATAAAAGAAATAAAAAGTTGGGGTAGGCCTACTCTGTTAGGACAGTGCTTCTCAACGGAATAAAAAAACATGTAAAAAGGGTAATTGCAAATTATATCCCACACTTAAAAAAAACCCAAAAAACTCTTTGAACAAACATAAATAAATAAAAAATCACATGATTAACTTGCTTTATTTCAGCATTATGCAATTCTGTTATTCCAATTTAATGTACTTAAGCTGGGTCAACTTAATATATTAAGGTTCATTCAACTCCCACAATTCAGACTTTCTTTTTGCAATTGCGAGTTTATATCTCACAATTCTGACTTATTTTCTCAAAATTGTGAGATATGGGCCTAAACTTGCAATTGCGAGTTTATAGTCCAATTCTGAGGAGAAAAAAAAAGAATTGCAAGTTTATATATCACAATTCAGACTTAAATCACAATTGTGAGTTTATATCACACAATTCTGAGAAAAAAAGTCAGAATTGTGAGATAAAACATCACAATTACCTTTATTATTATTTATTCTGTGGCAGAAACAAGCTTCCAAGTTCCATACTGAATCATTGACCATTAAAAAACAAAAATCAGAATTATTGTATTTAATGAGTGGTATTTTTTGAGATTCTTGAGGATAATGTCACAACCTATCCATGTAATTTGACTCCATGACCTGTAATGTCCATTACACACTTCTAAGGGCCCTCCAAAAAACTGGTCTCACAATTCTGAATCCCGAAGCACAGAGTTAGAATAGAGGATATTATGAATATCAGCTTGAAACAACAGACATCTGTGGAAAGTCCCCAACTACATTAGAACACATGTGATGTGAGTGTGCATGATCGGCATGTGTTCAACTGAGTGAGCACTAATGTGATTTGACATATGAATGTGCATTTATGTGAGGAGATCCACATGTACTGTGTGTGTGTGTGTGTGATATTAATAATAAGAGCAGCAATAATAATAAGAGGATGGGTGTGTGAGTTGGACTGGCCAAGCTCCCCTGAGCAGATGGTTTAGAGCCTGGGCAGAGAATTAAACGGTATCAGATGGCATCGGTGCCACCGTGCCAGAGGGAATACACACACACACACACAACAACAACACTCCTTCTCCACTGTTTGTGTCTCTGAATTTGTCAACTCCGATTTTATAAGTGTTTACAAATGACTTTCATTTCAATCTGCCCCAGAAAGCAGAGGAGCTCAGCGATTCTCCAACAGTCTCAGATGAGTCCAAGCAGGACAGCGGTTCTGATCAGTCGGCTGACGACAGCAGGGGCCCAACAGACGACTCGGACTCCGGCAGCGCGGAGGAGGACACGGGCGTTTACAGATCACACACGAGCAACAGCGAGACAACAGTAGCAGACAGACTGAGAGAGATTCGGCTGCACAGAGCAATGAAAGAGCAGCTGTCAATCAGCGGCCAGACACGCCCACTGGACACACCCACACCAGACAAAGGTAAGAGTCCCAATTACTGCGACAATCAACCACAAAAACACCGTAGGACAAGCCAAACTGAAAGCACAGCACAACATTATTAACGTTTATCTGCGTCTAATATAATAACAATCACAACGGATGGATAGGTTAGGGTTTTGTTTTCCGATACCCAGGAGGTCAAACTAAACTTATTTGAGTTATTTTATTATCTAGGCTTACTTATTTTGTATAAAGATTGTAACTTTTCGTTTCCATGCGGTTTGTGGCCAATATTTGACATGTCTAAATACATTTTGAAACCCTAATTTATGCAATTTTTCAACTTTCTATAAACATTGAATAAACAGCATTTATAAAATGTAAATATACAATATTTTGAAATTAATAACACACACACACACACACACACACACATATATATATGCTTCAGTGATTTTTTTTCTTTCTTTTTTTGAAAGAAAATAATACTATTATTTTCCAAGGATGTGTTAAATTGATATAATAAATAAACCCTATTTATTTTTAACCTTTTATTTATCAATGAATCCTAAAAAAAAATATCACAGGTTCCAAAAAAAATATTTCCAACATTGATAATAACTGAGCATCAAATTTGCTAATTATAATGCTTTTTTAGGATCATATCACAGAAGACTGGAGTGATGATGCTGAAAATTCAGATTTATATCACACATATAAATTCTATTTTAAAGTATAGTAAAATAGAAAACCATTATTTTAAATTTTAATAATATTTCAAAATATTACTGTTTTTTTTTATGTATTTTAATTAAATACATGCAGCCTTGATGGGCAAAAGTGGCTTCTTTCAAAAACAATAAAAAGGAAAGTTTCCAAACTTAAACTATAAACATTTTACAAATGTTTTAAATATATCAGATAATGAACAGATAACCTGTGAATTAACGATCTACATTTATGTGTGGTTTATGGACATTTTAGATTTTAAAAGGGACTTTCATGTTGTTATCGATGTAAACGAACAAATAGCGCCATCTAGTGGACTTCTAGTATCATTAGCACAACCAACAGCGAGCCTCTAAGCCAAAGCCTGCGTGCGCCACCTGCAGGACACACCAGTCACTGCAACACTTTCCTTTGTTTACCAGCTGCGGCTAATTTTCAAAAACAGGCAACTTTGCGCTGGTGTTTGCGTATTAAAATGCTACTTTGTTTACAGACCAACACAAAAACTACAACCAAACTTCTTCAGAAACAGAAAACAAACACGAGTTTAAAGGATTCCAACATATTAACGTACCTGACTTTCGGCTTAGGAGGTCAGGTGTTGGTCAGGTGTTGTAGGTGTCGTCACCCTAAATAAAATTGCACTTACATGGTGATATGTTGTTGTTGTTGTTGTTTTTTTGGTAGGTTTTTTTGTTTAAGTGGACACATATTATGAGACATTGAGTGTGGGTTTGGGTTTGGGTGTGTGTGTGACTCAGTCTGTGCGTGTGCGCTGGAGCGGGAATTTGCGCTTATCCTACGTTTCCATGGCGACAGCAAACGCAGTCAGGGGGTCACGGCTGCAGGGAACGGTCAGAGAAACATCAACAGGAACCACGGCTCAGTTCAGGAGAGGGAAAGAAAGAGAGAGACGTGACAAAACTAGACTGCTCAAATTATAATCACCACAGCTGTCTAGAACCACTACCAGACCAGGGCCGTTGGTGAGAACGATCTAGTTTTTGCACGTAGTACCGCTTGCGTCACGATCTCGACGTCATATATTTTTCCAAGTGCCCGAAAGTCATTAATTTAAAGGGATATTTCACCCAAAAATGAAAATTCTGTAATTACTCATCCTCATGTCCTCCCAAAGATGAATTTGTTAATCTTCAATATCTTTTTTGATGAAATCAGAGATTTCTATCCCTCCATTGACAGCTACGCAACAACCACTTTGACGCTTCAAAAAAAGTTAAGAGATTGTAAAACGAAACCATATTGAGAGCTTTATTCAAAACTTTCTGAGGAGACTCGATCGCTTAATATGATGAAAAGATTTAATTTAAATCTTAAAGGAACACTCCGACTTTTTGGGACTTTAGCCTATTCACCTTACCCCCCAGAGTTAGATAAGTCCATACATACCTTTTTCATCTCCGTGCGTGCTATAAGTCTGTTTGACGCACCCACCGCTAGTGATGTTACGTATGACACTGAAGCTTCGATGCGCGTATCACATATGCGACACAATTTCTAGTGAAGCCCCGTATCGTGGTGTGTATTGGTTTTCCCAGAGTCACGTGATCGATGACAAACGAAGCCTCACTTTCTGTCCGATCACGTGCGAGTTTCGCTTTGGGTGTCAGAAGGCTCGAACTTTAACGAGTCAATGTTGCCTCAGTCTGGTTGATGGGTGTTTGAGGAGAGTGCCGTACTTTGAAAGTTAATAAATATAATTCATTAAATAACCAACATTTATTTTTCACTACTTAAGTCTTCTTTTTTGTTTTGTCTTTTTGTTTTTGTAAAATCTTTGCACTTAAGCTTATATCTTTGCACTTAAGCTTATATTATATACACTTTAATGGGAAAATGAATTTATCAAATGAACAAATCAAACACAAACATGTAAGGTTTTTATTTGTAGACATAACATTGAAACTCTGTAGTGTGTTGTGGTTGCTTCATCTGCCAGAGCTTCTGGCTGCTTTATTTTAAATAAGCACCAGATGGCGCTGTTCTCGACACTCTCGAAGCTTTGAATCTTTTCCCGGAACAGTCAGGGGAAAGCCTCATTGCTTCATGAAGCTTCATTTCCCCATCCCTACCCACCGCTAGCCTAGCTTAGCACAAAGACTGGATGTGAATGGTTGCAGCTTTCATACTAATCCAAATGAGTGACAAAATAACGCAAACGTTTTCCTATTTACATGTTGTGGTTTGTATAGTCACAGAGTGTGCAAATATCAAGGCCATATGAGACACAGACATCTTTTGACCGTATAAATACTATATTTTCTGAAGGGGAAGCACTGCTACTTGGGCAGAGTGATAACAATCACCTGAGACGCACCGTGACGAGGAGCAGAGAGTTCGCTTCGCTCAGCGTTGGAATAAAGAGTCAGCAATTACTAACGTTAGATAGAAAAGCATAGTTTATCATGGGTGTTTGCTTTATTGTATGAGCTGTGACAATAAACAGGGGAGACCAGGTAATACAGTACCATGTTTCATTGATTTCCAACCAAAAACGCACCCAGATTTATAAATATCACATGAATAAATAATTATTATTACAGGAATCAATATATTTTAAATGCAATTTATTAGCTGAACCAAATGTATTCAACAGTAGCCTATATATACAGTATTGCATTACTATAGGATAGAATAAGGGGTAAGTAATAGCACAAATTGTTTTTGCACAATGAACTCACAGCCTATCGTACCCTTTTGCACGCTCAAGTTTGTTATTTCCATGGTTATTTCAAATTTAGGCTACTAGGCGCGCCGCGCGCAGGGTGCAAGTTCAACGCGGTGAACGCGTTAGTTTTTTTTTCCCAAGCGCGTCCGCACCGCATCAAGATAAAAACATATTCATACCCTAATCATATAATAGTGTCACTACCCAGATAGCAAATTGGCCTTGGGCCGGATCTGGCTTAATTTCGGCTGAGATTTTGGCCCACATACCGCATGGAATTACGGGCCAAGGTTGGCCCAAGTGCTGTTTGCCGTAAGTCAACCAGATCAAAGCCGTGAGCAAACCAAAACTCGCCCAGAGCTTTGCAGTGTACCCAGATATTACCCAGAACTGGGCCAAAACAACGCCGTACTCCCCATATGTCAGCCAGACAAAAGCCAAACTGCCACCACCTTTAGGCCAGAACTCAGCCACATCTTATCCAGAAGCTGCAGAAAACAGCCATAACTGGGCCAATATTATACCAGAGTCCCCAAAACTGAACCAGAAATTATTCCTGTGTAAAACAAGGTATAATAAAAAAAATGACACTACAGAAATGCAAAGAACAATATTTTATTGAGAAGGGAAGAAAATCTCAACCAGATAAAAGGATAAACAACAAAATACAAGCCAATACTAGAGTAAGACAAAACAAAATATAACTATAATTCACATTACAAGAATAATAAAAAGACAGCAATAAATTAAAATGTTACAAAAATGTGTATGTGGCATTCTTAAATAATGAGATACAAAAATTAACAAAAATATGTTGGCCGAGAGATCTCAAAGTCCTGCAACAGAAGAAAACATGCAAACAAGAAAAACATCAGCAAGTCAAGACATCAGTTTCACAACACACATGCTGCAAATACAATGCAAACAATAAATAATAATAAAAATAAAACAATGAACACCATTGTCGAGTAGATATTTGTTGGTCGGACATTTGGAGAGCATTTATGTATTTGGTTGTGTTTAGCACATGTGATAAAGATGTTCTTATTTACAGGGTTTTTTTTCTGTTTGCATCAATTTTCTTCTGTTGCAGAATGTTGAGACCTCTCAGCCACCGTACTAAAAAGCAACAGAAACCAAGCAATACATTAAATTCATACAAACAGTAAAGCAAAAGTGTAAATGTGTCATGCATGCCACACCACCACTGCTATGACATGCTATAGTATCCTTACACTAACAGTGAATATATGATGAAAAATACTAAATGAAATCTTACATCTTATTAAAAATACTAAATGAAATCTTACATCTTATTAAAAATACTAAATGAAATCTTACATCTTATTAATCGGTCATCACTTGAGAGGCTTTTTCTCTGTGGTCTGGGTGTTTCATGATGCCATGGTGACTGTATTGCCTGTCTGTGAGACTGTAAAGTTAAATCCTGTTGCCTGCGATGTTCTGTGAGGTCTTGTGAACTTCTCTACTTGCCATGGCTGCAGTAGCCTCCTCATCGGGGTCATTTTCATCCATTAGTCGCCTGTTTCATCTTTAGGAAAGGTACATTTTTTTAATGATTACTAAATTTGATTAAGAAAGTGTGGTATGGTCATGTAAAGACTATTCAGTGACAAATTCCCTTTTTGCAATTCAAAAAGAAATGTGCATTATAATGTGTTAAACTGCACAAATATATAAGGACCTGTAAGAAAGGTCTATGTTAATGAATTAACGTTAAAAAATAATCAATCTTACTTCATTTTCCGTTTTGGTGGCCTCAGAAAGATCAGCTGTTGTTCAGCAAGAAGCAGCTTCCGATGTTCTTCACTATAATGTTAATTTTCAATGAAAAACAGAATTCAAACATCAATTCTATTTCCTCTCCAACATAAAAACAAATAAAATCCAACCACACAAACCCCCCAAAAATCGTATCTAGTAATGCGCTATAGATTAAAATCCACGTGTTAAGATAGTGAAAAACTATAAACTTACCTTGATCATGTATTAAAACTTCAAAAGATAAAACAAACACAGCGTGATTGTCGAAGTTAGAACAACTAACTTAGTTATTTGAATTTCACCGCGACTGCGTTGAGTTGCTGAATAGCTGCTACGCAACTTCCGGATCCTCTGGTAGGCGGGATGGTGTCACTGGGTGCATTCTGGGAAAAGTAGTCTTTTTGCAAAGCGGATTTAACACTGTACATGTAAATCAACTACAATTTCCATGATGCATTGCAAACCAGATTGTATCAGCAGCCACAGACGTCGCATCGACTGCCGCGTGGTTTGCTCACACTGCTCCAAAAACACGCAAGTTTCCCGGAGATTTTTAAAAACAGAACCACGTTTTATTTAACCGATTTCAATGGTTTACGTGGAGAACATAAATGTTTCTTCTCCAAATACGTACAATAGGCTATGTATAGGCTATTTTATGGAGATTATATTTTTTTTTTATTGAGGAATTGTGAAAACTCAAAGCATGGGTGGTTTTTGCTTCAAAAAATCATAGTTTAACCATGGGTTTTGTAGTACATCTGTAGGCTACCTAATAAATTCCCCAAAAAGTGAATTTGTGTGTGTGTGTGTGTGTGTGTGTGTGTGTGTGTGTGTGTGTGTGTGTGTGTGTGTGTGTGTGTGTGTGTGTGTGTGTGCATATTGATTACCATTTGGATAACCATTCAATCTTTTGTCTATGCTGCAGACTGAACCATTTGTCTTCAGTCATTTTGCAAACATCTTTTTTTTCCATTCTGCAATCTGCACATTATCACCTCCTTAACCCCCCCCCCCATTAAAATAATCTTGCCAATAGAATAATCAAGGCTTCTTTCCTTAAAACCTGCCTGTGTAAAAGAGAACTATTTGCATACATATCTATATGTATTTTTAACTAGGTCTATAACAAACTTATTTCATTTTATTATTTTTAACAAAATTAACCCTATTTATGAGGTTGCATTATAATTATGTCTAAAATATGAACCAATTTAACACCACATCTTACACGGCTATTTTACAGTACAGCACTTTCATGAGGTCTGTTATTTGCTCAGCAAACCAAAACCCAACCAGATCTCAGCCAAAAATTTCCTTATTCTGGCAGACCGAACTCAAGCCAAAGCTTAGCCAAACAGATACAATTTGATTTGTTTCTTTTGGTTAGCCAGACTCCAGCCAGAGCTTAGCCTAGTACTGTTTGACACAAGAGTGTGAAAAAAACAGTGCCAGAATTAAGCCAGAAGTGCCGAATATAAGCCAGACTCGGCCCAGACTTTGTTGCTATCTGGGTAACGTTACATTAGATCTGGCTAAAGGCACTGTTACAGTAGGTCATCTAAAAACATAACGGAACACTTACCTCAGCCGCAGGCGATCCACTTGTCCTGTCTGTGCTATCGATGGGATGGCCGTATCCTTCAGCACATTATGGTCCGTGTGGCAAATTCCATTTTTTCAAAATAGTCGTCCTCATTGAAATGTACCGAGCAAACATAATGTCCCTTGATAATCTTAGGTGTGTTTGGATCAATATCCAGAGTAAGTAAGTTAGCCATTTCTTCATCCAGTCAGCGTTTTTAGTTGGAATTCTGTGAAACATGGTATTACCTCCCCTGTTTACAGTCGCAGCTATTTACAATAGAGCGAAAACCCACGACTCTAAACTACGCTTTTACTATTTATAAATTGCTGACTCTATGGGCTATATGCACGCATAAGTTCCGCATTTGACGTAAGGATGCTCGTCCATTTCCGGTTGTGTAGATTAAAGCGGAGGAAAACCGGAGAAAACGGGATTATGGCAGAGTCTTCAATATTTGCTGTCCTCCCGTCTTTGAAACGAAATGTACATACGTTTAGATGTAATTTTATATATAGTTATGTTTATATAATATAATTTTAAAAAGAAGCATAAACACAACGAGGGGTGTCTGTTTTATCTGTTTTTGTGACTAACGTTTCATTAGTATAACCATGGAGTATAAAATTCAATATAAATTCTCGGTATTGCATTGGACTCTATGATCGGCGGAAGTTATCGAGCATCCTTAATCCTTCACCGGAAATAACGCCGTGCATAGAGCCCATTACCCAAACACCGAGCGAACTCTCCGCTCCTCACCACGGCGTGTCTCCGGTGATGCGGTTATTACGCCGTCAAAGTAGCAGTGCTTCGCCTTCAGAGAATAGTTCCCAGGTTTTATACGGTTAAAAGATGTCTGTGTCTCATTTGACTTTGTTATTTGTACATTATGTGACTATACAAATCACAACATGTAAATAGGAAAACGTTTGCGTTATTTTGTCACTCATTTGGATCAGTATGAAAGCTGCAACCAGTCACATCGAGTCTTTGTGCTAAGCTAGGCTAGCGGTGGGTGCGTCAAACAGACTTATAGCACGCACGGAGATGAAAAAGGTATGTATGGACTTATCTAACTCTGGGGGGTAAGGTGAATAGGCTAAAGTCCCAAAAAGTCGGAGTGTTCCTTTAAAGATCCACCAGCCGGAATTGAAGCTTCGCTTGGGAGTCGCCATTGTAGCAGACTATCACCTGCTGTTAGCATTCCATTGACTCCCATTCATTTTGGTGTCACTTTGACAGCGAATAACTTTACATCTGAGGCGTCCAAAGACTCCATTTGTCCATTATTTATTTCTAAAGAAACAGGAATGGATAAAAGGCTCCATTACTTTTTGTATCTTACGTTATGGTCCAGTAGAAGCCGTTTTTGTAAAAAGAGGCTAACGATAACACGCTAACTCTCTGTCGCACAGTAGATAAACTACCGTAGAAACAGGAAGAGAAGCTCGTAGGCTTTTACTGTCTATGAGGCAATCGGGTAGACATGGAGGCATAATAGAGAGTTCATAAAATCAACGGGACAAAATATTTCATCAACAGATTTGTTTCAGATCTCAGTTCAGATTTGTCTCAGCACAGCTACTAGAAGGTCAGAACGGTTGCTCACGTCTCATCTCAGTTTGAGCCTGCGCAGTAAGCTTGGCTATCAGGAAGTGAGCGCTTCTAATGGGCTTCAACTTTCTCCATTGAAATCTATGAGGTCACTGTGTCCATTTCTTTTACTGTCAATGATTTCTAAGATTTAGGTTTACAGCAAGCATATACAGCGACCTGAAGTTGTTTATTTTCAACATGTGACAGCTTTTGCCAATGCGGTGTGAAACGTGAAAATGTAGCTTGAAGCGATTAAATAAAGCATCAAATACCAGAACATATTCAAATATGCGTTTTTATATTAAATATTTAAATATGTCAATAGTATAAATACTATATACATAGCCTCTATGTATAAATGGGTCAATGGCATGACGTGCATATTTTGTCATTTCCTTTTAAAATAATTTGATAAATACATGACATATATCCCATTATTCTATAAAACGTATTGAGTTTGAATTAATTTTTAGTACATTCAAATTGGTTTTCTTATCTTAAACCCCAAAATGTCAGGTGGTACAACTGTCCGAACAAATGAACAGACTGAAAACTATTTAAAATGGTGTCTTAATTTAAAAATAATTTTAGGTTTGAAACTTTTCTTATACATTCATTTTATAAATATCAATAGTTTTAAAGCGGTTGAGATAACTTTTGTCCAGCAATTTCTATATTCTCAAATGTTAGGGTGGCAAATGCAAACATTTCACTTGACTGACATTTTAAAGACAAATTACTTTTTTATTCAAACTTTTAAAGGGATACTCCACTTTTTTTGGAAATAGGCTAATTTTACCACTCCCCCAGAGTTAAACATTTGGGTTTTACCGTTTTCAAATCCATTCAGCCGATTTTCTGATATTTAGAAGAATATCAGTAACCAGACAGTTTCTGGTCGGGTCAGAAAATCGGCTGAAAGCATTTGAAAACGGTAAAACCCAACTGTTTAAGTCTGGGGGAGTGGTAAAATTAGCCTATTTCCCCAAAAAGTGGAGTATCCCTTTAACCTTTAGTGTGAACGTCTCTAAAATGTCTTATGCTTTGTGTTCTCAGATTGGAATAGGTTATTTGGATTTATTTTCAATTATCTGGAACAGTGTATTTATTGCTGATGATGACTTTGCCACATTGCACCTGGTTAGATGTTTTCACTCATTATGTGTTGCCGCATCGTTGCTTGCAACTTATAAATAAAGGTTGCGTCACGTGAACACCAGGAAAAAAAACTGCATGTAGAGGGCATAGTAAAGACCCCCAAGTCAGTGCAGAAAAAGAAAAAAAGTTCTGGCCGAGAGTTGGTCTCACAGGAAAAGCGTGAAGGGGGTGGAACTCCAGGCTTAGACCCCTCAGGGAAAGTCTAAAAATACAGCTCTCCCCTGGCCTCTCCTGAGTCTCGCTCTCCCCAGCATCTGTCTCTGAAGTCAACCACGGTCCCCACGAGTGTCCTCCTCCATCTCTCTGTCTCTACCTCCTTCTACCTCAATCACCCCTTCACCTATTCCCTGACCACCTGTCTCACCCCGTTTAACACATTCAAATTGTGTCATCAGTCCCGTAGCCTTTACCCTCGACCTCACGCTCATGTTATTTGTACTCTCTTCGTCCTTTACTTTCTTCCTCACTTTTTTCTCTTTTGCCTGCTGTCGCTCTCCTTGCTTCTCCCTCCTGTGACCTCTAGACCTGCCTTGAGTGGGTGGAAAGGAGGATAGAGAGAGAGACAGCTGTGGATGTATTATAATCCCCGGCGGGCTTGTGTCAGGGGTCTAACAGCTTTTTAAAGTCAGCAGTGATTTACAGACAGTCAAAGTCTCGTAATCATGAATTTCTGCTTGATTATTTCCTTAGTCTTGACCTCTCGCGAGGTCCTTGTGGCTCTGAACCAGATCATAGCCGAGTAATTAATCACATCTAACATATTAGTTTGTTTATATAATATATGTGTGCGTGTATGTGTGTGTTTATATATTTACAAAAATAAAATTATCTTTAACAATCTTAATTACATTAGTTTAGGGTCCAACTCTCATTAACTACGACTTTTGCCTCAATAAACTGTTAATTACTGCTTATTAATAGTTAGGCAGTTGTTAAGTTTAGGTATTGGGTAGTATAAGAGATGTAGAATATGGTCATGCAGAATAAGGTTTTAATATGTGCTTTACAGGTACTAATAAACAGCTAATATCCTAGTAATAGGCTATGCATGCTAATAAGCAGCTAGTTAACAGTGATAATTAACTGACATGTATACTATTCATAAAAAATAAAGTTGAATATCTATATACATGTGTGTGTTTGTGTGTTAAATAACTGCTCAATAGAAGCAATCTTATTCTACCAATATTAAATCTAACCTGCTTTGTATTTTTTCACACTCAGTAATGTATCATGTTGTTAGCTTAGCAACATGCTAACATTGTGCATTTTACCCATGTAGACAGTAAGGCAGCTCACTGGGTTTGAGCTAAGTTGTCAACAAAGTTATGTTTCCAAGTTTTATAATACAATCTTTCTTCTCTTTCTGTCTCTGTAAAGGAGTGGTGAAAGTAAATGATAGCCTGACGAATGGCAGTCGTGTGGCTCAGCTCAGGAAGACCTTCAACACCACAAGTGCCCCATGTGTCAAACCACCGATCCCCTGCAAGCCAGCTCACCTACTGACCTCCCCCTCTGTCAGATAAACACAACACTGCCACTCTGCACACCTGAAAACATTCTTGTGTATTTAAAACCCTGCAAAATGGACTAAAAAACTAGAATAACTTGGACATACCTGCACATATGAGCAGATCCAGGTGTGGATGCAGCTGGAGACAGACGCTGGACAGAAATCAAACGCTCTTTATGACCCAGCTCGCACCAGTACTCTTCAGTTTTCACATTGTTTACAGGGGAACATATGTTCTACTGCCTTTATGTGATATTGTTTATTTCATGTTTTTATATAAACTTTTTTTCCTTAAGTGGAGAAAAACCAAAGTTAATGTTTTTTTGTTTGTTTGTTTTTTTAGAAAATGGCTCATCTTTTTTCTGGCTGTAAATAATGGTGTTATATTGTATAAAATAAAATGGTTTTAACTGGTGTAGAGAACTGAATGCTAATTTAAACAGGAATGCTGTTCCAGGCCCTCTAATGTCCTCCACAGACAGACAGACAGACACAGACAGACACAGACAGACAGACAGACAGACAGACAGACGGACGGATAGATCGATAGATAGACAGATAGATAGAGACATAGATAGACAGACAGATAGATAGATAAACAGACAGATATACAGTTAGACAGACAGACAGATAGATATACAGACAGACGGATAGACAGACAGACAGACAGACAGACAGACAGATAGATAGATAGATAGATAGATAGATAGATAGATAGATAGACAGATATGTAGAGACATAGATAAACAGACAGATAGATAGATAAACAGACAGATATACAGTTAGACAGACAGACAAGACAGACAGATAGATATACAGACAGACGGATAGACAGACAGATAGATAGATAGATAGATATACAGATAGATAGAGACAGATAAACAGACAGATAGATAGATAAACAGACAGACAGATGGATAGATAGATAGATAGATAGATAGATAGATAGATAGATAGATAGATAGATATATAGATAGACAGACAGATATGTAGAGACATAGATAAACAGACAGATAGATAGATAAACAGACAGATATACAGTTAGACAGACAGACAAGACAGACAGATAGATATACAGACAGACGGATAGACAGACAGATAGATAGATAGATAGATATACAGATAGATAGAGACAGATAAACAGACAGATAGATAGATAAACAGACAGACAGATGGATAGATAGATAGATAGATAGATAGATAGATAGATAGATAGATAGATAGATAGATAGATAGATAGATAGATAGATAGACAGACAGACAGATATGTAGAGACATAGATAAACAGACAGATAGATAAACAGACAGACAGACAGACAGATAGATAAACAGACAGATATACAGTTAGACAGACAGACAAGACAGACAGACAGATAGATAGATAGACAGACAGATATGTAGAGACATAGATAAACAGACAGATAGATAGATAAACAGACAGACAGACAGATAGATAGATAGATAAACAGACAGACAGACAGATAGATAGATAGATAGATAGATAGATAGACAGATATACAGTTAGACAGACAGACAGACAAGACAGACAGATAGATAGACAGACAGATAGATATTTTTATATTTAACACATTGTATACAACATCAGTTTAAAGCAATAAACAGATAATCGACAATCAATCAACCTTCAGAATGTATTTCCATATTATCACCACATGTTTGGTGTGGCATCTGGTTCATGATGGAGCCAGTCAATCATTCCAGACTGTGAAACAGCAGCTGGGATAGTTTGAGCGGTCGAGACAGCCGGCAGCGCGGGGTCGTCATGCTGACCCTCGTCTCAAATGAGCTCATGCAGCAGAGTTACTGACCTCTCCCTTATCTCCGTCCATTCCTCGCTGGATCCTCCTCGGAAGGATCAGGGCTGGAGAAAGAGAGACATGGAGGTGCATGGAAATAGAGGAAGGGAGATGGAGTAAAGATGATGTAGAGATGTGTCACTCAATCTTATAATTTAACTGGTTTACACAGGTGATTCTTCTTCTGGAGGACTTTAAAGGAACACCAGTACTGAGTGAATCCTTCTGTTGGAGCTCTAGTCTCATGATTTAGCAGTGTTCCCCATGCAATGTGAGTTTGACGCTGGCTAACATCAAATAAAAGTGAAAAAAAAAATATATATATATATATATATATACAGTATATATATATATATATATATATATAATATTATATATAATATTATTAAAAATATATACGTTCTAATCTTTCAATATAGCACAATTCGCATAGGCTACATATAGCCTATATAAAATAAAAATGTATATACAATAAAAAAAGACTAAATCAATAAAATCATATTTATAACTATACACATAGAAATTGTACGTTTTTATATAGTATATAATATAATACATTTTTTACACTTGTTTTCCAATTTAACAAAATTCTCATTACATTCACATAAGCCAATTTAAAAATACAATAAAAATATGAAGTGAAAAAAGGCCAAATAATTTTTTTTAAAAATGCATGTCTACAATGCAATATCATATTATGTTCTGAGTTCTGAGGGGAGAAAAGTTCAGTAAGATGCTTTTTCGAAGAAATAAAAATAATTATATTAAGCAACAAGGCTGTAAATTGATCAAAAGTGAAAGTAAAAAGAAATATTTTGTGACATACAGTATATAGCCTATTTCAAATAAATGCTATCCTTTTTGTCCTATTTTCATCAAACAATCTTATATTTTATCACAGTTTACAGTTTTGTTCCATAGGTCTACATATTCTGAAAAGTCTTAGCTTTCTGGTTGACGTCACCTCCGCCTGACCGAGGGGAGTTTAGTCATACACACATCGACTGCAAACACGCATTCAGGTATGAAACACCCACTTTTCCTGATTCAATCAATTCCCAGTGGGCACTTTTGATTTGAATATTCTGCTTAAAGTGAAGTAAAACGGGTTGTGGATGTAATTTAGTGGGTTGCGTGTGTAATTATCCTGAACAAACATCACACACACAAAAAATGGACAGGTAAAAGGCCCATCATCGAATGATATTGCATTTAGTGCTGATGCAATGATGATAAACCATCAGATTTTTCCCCCGTCTGAGCTAAATGTGTGTTTTCAAAACTCAACTAATGAGGGCTACCTACCGTAGAAATACCTCTGATGTGCGAATGGCGAGAGAACAGATTAATATTTCATAAACAGCATCACTGCTGTACGCGAGGCGCTGCAGAGTTTTGTGAAGCTGCTCTGTAACTCCAGTCGATACTTTATGTCTGTCGTCTCTGTAGTGACCAAACCGGTCTAGAATTTTTTTACATGAGAACAGAATTGATATTCCTCTCTCTCTCTCTCTGCTTTCCTCTATCTCGCTCTCTCTTCTGCTTCTACAAAGACCACGACTGTTTTGCCGTTACACTCAGATGCTCTGAAGAAGCTTCCTGGAGGAAGAGGAAGGTGGGGGGTTTCTCTGAGCGCGAGGAGGACAGGGGTACTCAGGCATCGTAAACCTTTTAAACACACATGCGCGCACACACACACACAATTCCCTGCTGCAGTGGGATTCTCTGAAGGGAGATAAAAAAGACTCTGTTGTGTGCGGGAAGAGAGAAGCCCATCACCACCTCCACCACTGTCACCCTGGGAGAAGAGAGAGAGAGAGAGAGAGAGAGAGAGAGAGAGAGAGAGAGAGAGAGAGAGAGAGAGAGAGAGAGAGAGAGAGAGAGAGAGAGAGAGAGAGAGAGAGAGAGAGTTGTAGCGGTCTAGCGGTGTAGGCTGAACCTCGGCTCCAGTGACCCCTGGCGAGAGAGAGCATTGTGTGTGTGTGTGTGTGTCGCTGCAACATGTGACAGGGCTACACACACACAGGCTCACCCCCTCAGGCAAGAGCGAAACGGTCTGCAGCGAAAGCGCCTGTGTGTGTGTGTGTGTGTGTGACCGAATCCGTTTGGCGAAAACAATCCCTTCTGTGTGTGTGCGTGTCTCTATACGTGGAGCTGCGTGTGCGTGTCCGTGCGTGCGTGTCTTGCAGTGAACGGTCTACTGCGTTTTTCCCTCCATGATTAATCAGAGCGAGGGCAGGAGGCCGAGGGCCGAAGGGACTGCGACAGCTCCAACGCTCTTAACCCGTTACTGCCCACACACACACGTACTGGAGATCCACACTAAACACAATCTGTAAATCGACAACACTGAAACCATTGCAAATTAATTAGCCATAGCACAAACACCATTAGAGAGTAGGCTAATAGTGAGCGTTATAGCATTAGGGATTTTAACAATTCTTTAATAATTCACCAGCTAACAGGGAACATTCTCAGAACTTTGGCTAATGAACAAAAGTTATTCCAGTAACATTAATAGATTGTTCGTTCAAAGTTATCTGGTTTTATTGTTCTTAAAACGTTATCAATTTTTTATGTAGGCTTTAGTCTATACTACATCATTCATGGAACTTTAAAAAAAAATAAACGTTTTGGTTAGACGTTTTTCTAACATTTATGTTCAGAGAACATTCAAAAGGAACGTTCCCATAATGTCTTGATAACATGAAATGTTTCCTTAATGTTCGCATAACTATGTTTTTTTTTTTTTAAATTTCTTTAAACTTTTCTTGATTTAATGCAAATGTTAGCAAGCAAAACGTTCTCACACTGAAAAAATAATATGCTTTATCTAATCAATAAAATTGTGGCAACATATTACAAGCAATAATATTAATTAAATTCTACAAATTAGAATTAATTAGAATATTAATTTGATTAACTATTACTCAATTCTAATTTGTTCAATTTAATAAATAATATTGCTTGTAATCTGTTGCCACAATTTTATTGATTAGATAAATGATTCATTTTTACAGTGCAGAACATGTTTTAGTCTAAACCAATCAGCTTTAAGTAGAATCAAAACATTACAAACTTTAATTTGAAGCAAACTGTAATATAAAAACTGCTTGTCATACTAATAAGACACTAAATTATATAGACCTATTTAAAGGGATAGTCCACCCTACAATGAAAAATCTGTCATTATTTACTCACCCTCAAGTCCAAACCTGTGTGAATTTCTTTCTTCTGCTGAACACAAAAGCATATATTTGGAAGAATATGGGTAACCGAACAGTTGATCGACCTGACTGACTTGATTTTTTTATACTATGTCAATGGGGTCCAACTTTTTGATTACCCAAATTCTTCGAAATATCTTCTTTTGTGTGGACATTTTTTGCAACTTTAGATATCTTTGCTGAATAGAAGTGTTAATTTCTTTAGAAAAAAATGAAAACCTTTGACCTTAAACATTTGAACGCTAGTGTGGATCTTGAGTCTCTGAGTGAAAAACTGCACCTGACAACACCATCAGCATAGCACAAACCCAGAATCCCCTGCAGACATGTGAAAGACTATTTCAAACACATACATCACGTCTGACACGTTG